TAGTTTATTGTGCTGGCCCAACCACCCTTCTTGGGGAAGGTGATTCCGGCCTGCTTCTCAAAACCAAAGGTGTCCCTGGGCCTGACCATGGAGCAATCAGGTCTCAATTCAGCTTTCCGGGCCCAAGCTGGATGACCCAGACAGTTACAGAAGACTCTTTTTCTCTGGCTGTTGTTGGTCCTCACTTGCTGTCTCACAGCATCAAGGAGGGTTGCTAGCAGAGGGCAGAGGGAAACTCAGCTGCTCCTTAGCACCTGGAGCTCAGCCCACATCTGGACATGCAGCTGGAAAGAAGTGAAACTGGATTCTCTCCTAGAAGACACAGCTGCCAGCAGGAGCCCGTGTCTGGGGTGAGGGGCAGGTGGGCGGGGAGAACAGAGAACACAGGGCCGAACACATCCATCACGTTTCCTGGCTGCAAATTTCAGAGCGCGGTGGCAGAAAATCCCCCGAGGTGGCTCTGCCAGGCCTAGCCCAGATGGAAGAGATGTGGAAGTACAAGCTTGATGGTTCAGGGGAAAAGCAGACCAAAAACTAGAGAGAGATGTTCTAGAGCAAAGATACTTGGTTGGGTTCCAGATTATAACCTGGGGCAAGGAAGAAGAGGAAGATGAGACAAGAACCAAATGTATTTTGGGGTGGGGGGAGATGGAACTGCTTGCAGAAAGATGTAATCCATCTAGTGCTGGCTGATAAAAAGGAATTGAGAGTTGTGTAGTTATGTGCTCAGGTATAGCATTTATATAAAAGATATTGCTAATATATATTTTTAAAGTCTGCCTTTCCTCTAGAAGTAATTTCTCACCCCATCCCTTTTTTTTATCCGGAAGCCAATCTTATGAGCTGGTGATGCGGAGGAAGAGTGATTGATCCCATGTCTTCCAGGAAGTTTAGTAGCTAAATGAAAATTAGAGCCTGTGTATCTCTAGCGTTGAGTCATTGCAATATATATATTTTGGTTTCCGCCTGCCCTTTCTACGTACAGTAACTGATTGCTTTGAGTTTGGCAACTTGAGACACATTTTTCTTTCCTATGGGGGCGGAATTGCGAGCCATTTTGCAGGAACATGCTTCCCAAGTTGATGCATGGGATGGCTTCAGAAGCAGGGCCTTCCCACATTACCTGTAGGACATTTCTGCCCAGTGGTGATCTTTGCCATGCTTTCTAACCCAATGCAACGTAGGTAAAAGGAGCCGGGACTCTGCCCATCAACAGGATGGGGCCAAATTTGATATGGTGGGAGAAGTCAGCAAAACAAAGCTCAAGTGGGAAAATGGGCCAGATCCAGCTGGGGAGAGTAATGGTCTGTGGGGAGGACCTTGGGAGACAGGAGGAAGAGCCGCAGTCTAGATGACCATCATGCAAAAGGTATCTCAGCCCATGGAAGGAGAAGAGGTGTGGGAAGCGTTGCAGAAGGGACCCTCCCTAGTTTTCCAGAAAGGAAAAGGAAAGGAGGGGAGAAAGGATTTCAGTCTTGCAAGATTGATGCCAGTCCAGACAAGAAGCACAAACCCTGAGTACTAACACTACTTTTATTTTAAGGTTACAGTAACAGGATCTTGCAAAGCAGGGTCCCTTCTGAAACGCTTCCCATGCCCCTTTTCCTTCCGTGAGCAGAGATACCTTTTGCAGGACAGTCATCTAGGCTGCGGCTCTTCCTCCTGTCTCCCAAGGTCATCCCCACCGACCATCACGGGGGGCTATAAAGAAAAAAAAAGGCTGGAAAATTCCTCCAGTGTATTCCTATGGGAGAAGTAATCAGGCAGTGGCTTGGAATGCTACCAGCTCCTCTGTTCTAAGCCCCCCTCCTTCCTCTCTCCTGGTCATGTGACCTGGGTGGAAAGAATTCCAGAAGTTGGGCTATTCAGGCATTCCCTGCCTTGTTTTCCAAAAATCCACCTGGGAAGGTAACCTGGAGTAGCTTCGTACTTCATTCTAGCCATGTAAATAGACCGGTGCAGGTGGAACCAAGATGTTTGCAGCATCACGGGCATCAGAAGTGCTGGGCCACACACAAGATCACCTACCTGGAGATCACCTGAGTGATCTTTGCATCTTCTGGGATTGCTTTCCTGGAACTTGGAGGTGGGCTGATAGTTACTCAAGGGTTCGTTGGATGCAGAAGGCCCTATGTTTAATCTTTGGCATTCTCTAAACCAGTGTTTTTCCAATTTAGCCGCTTTAAGATGTGTGGACTTCAACTCCCAGAATCCCCTAGCCAGCGCTGGCTGGGGGATTCTGGGAGTTGAAGTCCACACATCTTAAAGCGGCCAAGTTGGAAAAACACTGCTCTAAATGAAGGTGAGGAGCAAAGTTCCCCAATGCGAGAAGAATTTTTTTTTTAAATGCGGTCTCTTCTGCAATGGAGTTCTCCCTTCTGTAACCTAGGATGCATTTTAAAAAAACCTCCTTGTACAAAACTAAGGTTTGCCCCTTCTCTTCTTTCTCCCCCCAGCCTTGTTTTCTGAAGAACGCTTGGTCAAATTCTTCCCTTTCATTCTGTAACTCCATGAACCCAACCTCAATAGGCAGCATGTGACCTCTGTTGCTCTTCTCGTTTCGCTAATCAGTAGTTTAAATCCCCTAAAATAGTTGGGTGCACAGGTGAGAAGAGGAAGCAAGGCGGGGAATGGCTGCTCTTTGTCTTGTGAAACAGAGCAAAAATAGAACTGGGCTCACTTCTTGACCTCTCGGTTGTTTGCTACAGCAGGGTGCCTGGCGGGTTTGAGTTGCCAAGATATCTCTGTTTCTTCTATTTCTGGGCCCTGGGTAATCAAACACGTCCCCCCCTGAAAATAGAGGGAATTGCATGGCATTTCCTGCGCAGGAGAGATCTGTTTCATCTGCTGAACCTTGCTGTGGATTTTCAAACGCAGGAGACAAGAGGCCGATTTGAAATCACTTGCCGAGCGCAAAGCCACCCAGAGTTGGAAGCTGGGCAGATATCCATTTAAGAAAATAAAACCAAAAGCTCCACCGATTATTTTGGCTGTTGAGATCTGAACACTACTTCCCTTCTCGAATGACAGATGCGCCGGGCTCTGAATCTCTTGATGCTGTAATTTTGGGAACCGTCACCGAGCTTAGAGGGTGGTTTGCGTTTTGCTTCCCTGCCAAAACGCTAATTAAAAGCCCCCTTTAATCCGTTTTTTTTTATAGCCAGTGTTTAGCGCTTTGGGGATCAGGGAGAGCTGCTTTGTGATGCTCATTGAAGCCAGCCAATCAGCTCCCTGCACAGCCACATTTGGCTGCAAAGGGAAGAACAGCTTGTTCCTGAGACACTTTCTCTCCAGAAAGTTGGGGGAGTGTTTTGG